ATATGCAGTGGCAACTACATTTCTTAAAAAAGGAATCAAATATGAACTAGAAATTATCCTCTATAGTTAGCAGGCTTAAATAATCGAGTTGACTTGTTCCAGATGTACCATCTTTGATAAGCTGGCATTTGGTCAAACGTTAGTCAAGCTTTCTGTCTGACGAACCAGAAACGTTCACTGTAGTCTTCCCTGCATTTTTGGAACTAACATCGGAATAAAAAATCCATTATATTCGAGTTCGCTTGCTGTAGTTGTTATGCCACATTGAATGAGCTAGTATTTGTTCAAAATTTGGACTTCAAAGAAATCAGCTTTGTATTTCGTGCGGTCTGTGTCAGGAAGGATATCAAAAGCAAGTTTCTTCGATTATAAAACTGGCTTGTTTCGAAAACCGGAGTTTTGTCCTGTAAACAGAAAAACTGCAGCTGATTTCAGGCTTTTGATGTTTTGCTATATTATGCCTACTTATAAAATGTTAGTAAACATGGTTTGTTACTTTAGCACACGTTCATTGCCTGTGCACTTTTATGGCTGAGTGATTTCGATAATATATAATCGCGGCAAGTATGACTTCTGGGTGATTGTCTGACGACTGCTAAACTGCCAGCCTCAACCAATACGGCAAAATTGGCCGTAGCAAATACTCGTATCCTTTTGCTCAAAAAGTCTACGAAAAAGTGAATGAAGTGAACAGAAAATAAACAAAAGCTAACGCCCAGCCTCCTATTTTCGTTTGTCACGCCGACTCGCATTCTAATGAGGATGCACTAAGCGAGTCATCGACCATCTTTCACCTGCACGACGCGCACGTATTTCGGTGTAAAATAAGCCTCTGTTTGCATGCGGCTTCACAGAGTGATCGCCTCCTTTATTTTCTTTTCTAAACATATCAAGTACCGTTGAGATTTGCGTGCGCTGTTGAACGTTCGTCCTCTAAATAATGTAAAAGCTATCTTTCTATTATTGACATGAAATCGGGTACTCCTTCGCAACCCCAACCATAATATTTTCCCTTATCGGTTGCCTGTTTTGGTGATCTGCATTGGCAAAAGACCTCCACTTGGCGGAGAAACAATTTCATCGTCCAAAAATGATGGCTGACATTTTTTTCAGAAGAGACTAAAATTGATTACAAACGCGAAGTAACTTCGTCCTTTTAAATCTTGGCTTTTTAATACGTTGGCTGCAGTATACTTGCGAGCTATCTGTACTCAACGTAATCTGGATTTGGGAATTTGCTGAAAAATAAAAGAAAACGGATAACACAATTTTGAACTTCGTTAGCACATATAAACATGCATACACATTCTTGCCTTGAAACCAAAATGGTGGACCCTGCCCTCGTCATAAAAATAATGCTTCCTCTAATTTACTTCACCTGTCAAGTTTCACCGACACGATCATCGCTGGGGAAAATTCACTGATCGCTAACGGAACTCACTCGCCCATCATGCGGGTCCTGGTAGCAGCCACACAGCGGATCGTAGCCTAACTGGCTAGAAGTACCGATAAAGACAAGGGAAACTGGACTGTCAACGTCTAGCTTATCAGCA